AATTTTCCCTCGTTCCCCGCAAATAGGTGAAATATCCAAAAAAATTACAAATTTAAAAATCGGTAAATTTTGTCATTTTTTCACTTTTTTTTCTTAAAACTGCCATATTTTTTTCAAATATTAACAAATCAAAATAATATTTTTTTTTATTGAAACTTTAGGTAATTTTCTTTCGTTTTTTGTTTTTTGAAAATCTAACACTTATTCTGATCACAATAGGGATTTAAAATAGCAACTTTTATACAAAAACTAACTTTTTCAACTTAATTTTTTAAAATGTTCTGGAAATACTGTATCCTTTAAATATATATCAAATTAAAGCTTATGTCATGTACTATAGAATTTTAAAAAAATTTGTCTTGACGACCTATCTTCTATGCGCAAATGGCTACCGTATTCAAACAAATGCTATTTTTTTTATTAAAATTCTGGGTTTTGTACTTTATTTTATTTTAAAATATCCTATTAGGGGAATACACTGACTTTCATGAATATTATATAATTTAATTGACATAGAATAAAGTTCATAAAGTCGAAAAAGTAATTTTTAAATTTGAGTTAGCTTAAATAGCCAATTTTATCATGCGACAAAAACAGCGAACAGTTGTCGAATGGGTAACAACTGTTTCTTTCACGCTTAGGGTACGAGGTTCAAATCCGCCTGTGGCTTTTAATATTTTGAATTTATTCTGAGTTAGAATAAAATTTTCAAATCATTTGATATTTATCTCATTTAGATTCAATAACTTCAATAAATATAAAGAATCTTATCACTATCGTCTCTACCCTCATGAGAAGAAATTTATATTCATGTTAATATTATTTTACTATGTGGTTCTTTTTGTGGCTACGATTTATTTTGCCAAACCTCATTACACCTACATTTTTCAACGATACGTCAAATGATTACAATTCGCATTTAGTTTAAGTTATTACTCTTAAAAATCGAAAAAATTTTCCTTATTCAAAAATAAGTAGCTAAACCAGATTTTTCCATACAAACAATTAAAATCATTAATTTCTAATATTCTTAAAGTATTTATTGTTGTTATGAAACTACAATCTTTAAAAACTGTTGGATTTTAATTCTAATATAAAAAGAAAGGAAATACAATAAAACTCAATATTTTGGACTTTATATTAGTTTTTTTATAATTTTACATTACAATATAAACAAATACTGTCTCTTTTACAGAAAAAACATATACTACAAGACAAATTAATACTTAATCTAAGTTTTATCTCAATTACTTAACCAAATATAATAAGTAGTTAAAAACAGCAAACAATAGTATATATATATTTTTTTTTATACATTAAAATTGTAAAAGAACCGACCTGTATTCGTCTTGCCTTGCAATCAATATGTTCCATGAATTGTAAAACATTGGTTGGCCGTTAGTGTCTATGATTTTGTTACATCCGTTACTGACCAAAAACAAGTAACAAAACAAAAATCAATAAAAAACACACTTACATCAGCCCGCGCCGATGGTGGTGCAAACGCAACTGGTCCATAACGGACACGCAGGATGTTGTCGGTGTTGACAACAGCGCCACCGAGACCGGTGGTGCGTGCCTTGGCCCTCAACACAAAATCATGACGGAACAATTGTCGAATTAGATTTGATATGATAAAAGTATTCAACTACAAAAGTAAATAATTTTACTTTGTATATTTAGTAATTCTTTAAATCTATTTGTGTGTGTTACTACCAGTCTATAATATTCCATATTTTTATAATATGTTGCTATATAAATCATAAATTTAAAAAAAAAATGATTTTTAGTTTTACCTGAATTTATTGATGGCTTTTTACAATTATAATCAAATTTTATCATTAAAATTAATTAAGTTCTGAATATTTCCATTGTAGAATCTTTTTAAACACCAAAAGTTAATTAGAAATGATTACGATGATTTTTATTTAAGTGATCTATTACAATAAAAATGTAAACAAAATCGAACTTTTCTGATAAATGTACTGTAAATAGTAATTATAAAATTTTCTAAATGCATTAATCTTAATCACTAATCTGATATTAATCTTAAAAATTTCATTTTTTCTATTTAATATTGTCAATTTCAAACTTGCAAGTTGAACTATAAGTTATGGTAACAAAGTCATTTTTTTATTATTAAAACTTTCACTTTAAAGGACAAAAAGAAGTTGGTTCAAAATGATTACTTTTAACATTAAAATCAAAATCAATAATAATTTGAAAACAATTAATTTTAAAAATTGTATAATATATAATTAAAAGAATTAATAATCTGGGTATAATTAAAGAATTGAAGTTGATGTTGCTTCTGTAATTATCCATCAATTTCTTAGAATTAAACACTATCTATAGATTTGCATNATTTCTTAGAATCAAACACTATCTACAGATTTGCATCGAAGCGTTTCTTATGATAGTAATTTTAATCACTGTTAGATTAAATCTAAACTGGACCCAACTATGCAACGTCCCCACTGTGCTAGGTTTTTTATTAATATGTGTAGATATTAGTAAAGTAAAATTTAAACACAATAATATGTACAGATTTGCATATACTGCTTAACGACCATAATGGGCTACCATTTTAAAATTAATTTAAGACGATTTTATAAGTATTCTGATATTGAACGATGTATAGATTAAATTATGATTTTTTCTCGGAAACTATTTTCAAATATTTTTATGTATACCAACTTGAAAAAGTTTATTTAAGACAATTATTTAAAAATATAACTGCTAAGAATTAAGGTATAAGTCATTATAAAACTTTTGTTTAAATAAGTAGACATTTTACTTTTAAATATACAAATAATGGGGCTATTCTTTAATTACTTAAATATGAACATTTAAACATCTTTTGACTACATTTTTCTATTGTATATTATATAATTCTAATAAAAAATTTTTAAAAATGATGATTGAAACTACATGGTGCCTTTATTTGATGTTAAACCTTTTATATTATACTCATAAAGTTTCATGTGTTACCATGCAAAATATTCTTCTCAATTTTGTTTACTCTCGGGCAAGTGTACTACTTCATGGAGTCAGTATTAAATTTGATGGAGAGAATTTTATGTCCTATGATTCCTTAATACAAGAGGCAATTAATTTTTTAAACGCCCATAATGTTGAAGATGAGACATCTGAAGCTCATAAGTTCCTTGTACAATTTCAACATAATTTGCCAGATATTGTTTACTGTAAGTATTCTGAAAGAATATCCGTTATTACTTCTTATATATTTTACCTAATGGTAGAATCTAAGAGACATTAAGATGAAAAGTTAATAAAATCACTTAACAATTTTATTAAAAATTTGGTAGAATTGGTAGTTTCTATAGAAAAAGGAGTTAACGACGTTAGACTACTTAGTTCTAAACGAAATAACTTTCAACAAATCTCGAAATCATTCACAAAGATACCATTTCGTGCAGGTCCAATAGAAAAGGTTGGCATACAGAAATACCTTGATGATGTATTATCTATATTAATCAAAAAAGCAAATAATTATATGAAAACACATTGTAGATATGCAAACGAAAATAATACTTCGAAATATCTCGATGATTTTTTTTTAAAGAGACCTTATGTAGAAGAAACTAAGTACGATTTTTTAGCGATATATACTGAAGGTTACTTTACTGAAACTAATACTTTAATTACTCATTTGAATGGAATTTTTCAAAACTATTTTTTTTATAATAATCAATAAATGTAAGAGGTATTTTTTTTTGTTCTAAATTAATTAAATAATATTAAAAATAATTTAAAAATAAATTATTTCCTATTATATAAAATAATAATTATATCAATGAGTTAAAAAATAAAATGTTCAAAAATTGTTTTTTTTTGTTATTTTATATTTTACTGTTTATGTACTGTTACGTCGCTATTTAGGGGTTTAGCCTAAATGCCCGTCGACAGTATTCTAAGGGACCAACGGGGGATAGCTGGCTAGGCTATATCTACCTTAGGTACTGAAGTTTCCTATTTAATTTATATTCCCTTAGAGGAACTACCAAGGGTCGCACTACAATATATATATATAACACTTTAGGTTAACAACGATATAAATAAATATTTATTAAACAATTGAAATATTAAATGGATAATACAACCTGCTGGACACCTAGAGATGTTATAATCCAACAGGGAGCTGACGGCGACACACACACACACTATAATATACGGAGTAGCAAGTTAAGTTAATTATTAGACAAATAGTGATCGCGAAGATGGTAAAAGGTCAACTGTCGATAGGGATATCTTATTATGGCACATTGGCCGTGAATTGCAAAAAGTGTTTATGTGTGCAGTCCGCCCTCCTGTTAGTATTGCTGTATGTCACTGTGTTAATTATATATATATGTCTATTAAACGGTACAAAGATGTTATGGGAGACAGAGATATGGGCACATGCAAATGTGATCGTATCAGAACAAAGACATTAAACCACAAAAGATTAGCTACCCAATAAGTATAGAGTTGCAACACACTTAGTCATATAGTAAATATTTACCATTAACTGAGAAAATTAGAGTTTATTCGGGTTTATTATATATAAAAATATTTTTATTTTTTTTTGTTTGAGGTTTAACATGTNAGTTTATTCGGGTTTATTATATATAAAAATATATTTTTTTTTTTTTTGTTTGAGGTTTAACATATCAATTGACATTTATTTCCACGATAAAATAAAACATTATTATTTAATGAACAAATTAAATTAAATTAAAAGATTCACCAAAACAAAATTCACTTTAAAATCTCTAAGTGTCATTTAGTTTTAAAGAAAAATATTCTAAAACCAAATAAATTTAAAAAAAACTAGGTCCCAGAAAGTAAGAATCTTGAGTAGAGTGTCGCAGATTTTGTGTATTTTAAAATCGCCGAAAGAACTGATTTTAATAGGAAAAAATGGGTTTTTATAGTAGTCGAGGGTCGTGTAGCGATCCCTAGTGTGTTCTTAGAAACTGTAGATCTTAATTATTAGTTAAATGTGATTGGCTGGACCTAATTGAGAACCCACACATAGGCGTTACTTTGAATCTGTACGATAATCAGATTTAATTGTCTAGTTTATTGATTATTTTAAGTTTTAAATAAGGGAACCCTGTTTTGGTGATCTTGTGAATTCATAATATATGACTACATGTAAAAAAGATAACAAAATATAATATTTTAATATTACAAGTGATAATACAACCAGGGATTCGGAACGGAACAAAAATATTGTTCCGGAACGTGAAATTTCGTTCCGTTCGGACCATTTGTTCCGGAACGGAACTATTAGTAAAATTCGTTCCGACTATTTGCTCCGGAACGGAACTATTAGTAAAATTTGTTCTGGTAAGTTGAAACATTGGATATAATTGAAATTGTTGGGGAATTAATTATTTAAATTTAAATTATTTTTATTGTTTATTAAAAAATCAGCTACTAAAAGGACGGATAATTCGTCTAGATGCCCTCGAATAGAATGTATGCTGTCAACTCTTAATCGTGACAAGTTTACTTTCTAATGTTCCAAAAAAATCAACTTCCTGCAAATTTCTGATTAGTAGATATTTTTATTGTATTTGTATTGTTATTTACGTGTAAAAATCATAGAGTAACTCTATGGTAAAAATGACACGGTTAAATTAAAATTTAAGTTCCATCACTCGTCAATAATAATATTGTTTTTATAAATTCAGAAAAGCGACTGCTAAAATAAATCTAGTTATAGCAATGCAATACATTAAAATAATTGAATAGGCTGAATATAACGCTCTCCAGTTAAGTCTCTTAAGTACAAAGATCTGAATCCATATGAGGCTCGCCTCTATATAAAAGATAAAAATTTAATAGTAGATTAATTTAAAAAAATATAATAATAATTTAAATGTGATTAATAAATATCAGAGGGGTGAAAATAAATAGAAACATTCCAAAGCATTTTTGCGAAACAATTTGTAGCTAGCATTCCGTTCCGGAGCAAATAGCCTGAAAGATTTTTACTAATAGTTCCGTTCCGGAGCAAATGGCCCGAACGATTTTTAGGAAGAGTTCCGTTCCGGACCAAATGGCCTGAACGATTTTTACTAATAGTGACGTTCCGGAACAAATATTGGAACGGAACAAAATTTGCTCCGTTCCGAATCCCTGAATATAATATTACAAATTGAAGATTTAAAATTATTTTTTATTTCAAAAAAATCATGAAAATACAACATTTAGTTATCATATACAGTTTATCGTGTCTAAATATTAATATTTTTTTTTTTAATAATGAAAAAAGTAAATCTAAATAAATTATTGTAAACATTTTTAGAAGATAAATATAAACTAGGATTTATATAGCCTATACAATGACATGATTAAAAGTCTATTTCAAGAATATTTGTATATTCTGCGTCAATTAACCTGAAAATTATCTTTAATTTTTTTTTTAATTCATCTATTGTATCTGGTATAAGATTAAAATTGTACTCCTCGTAAAATTCTTTTAATAAATAATTCAGTACTTGTTCTTCTAATATGTGTGTATTCGATTTTTCGGACTTGGAAATTTTTGCCTTTTCAAAATTATGTTCAATAATTTTATCTGACGGATATAAAGTAAGTGTGCATACCTCTATCAAATATTTTAAAATGTGGACTTCTATGCCAAAACTTTGCTCAGTTTTTAATTGTTCTATGAGTCTTGTTGTTGAACTGTGCTTAGTCAATTTTATTTTTGCTACATTCAATTTCGTAAAATATTCTATTAATTCGTTCCAAAATGGATCTGATTTAAAAAACCCATCANTTTGTAAAATATTCTATTAATTCGTTCCAAAATGGATCTGATTTAAAAAACTCATCAATTTCTAGTATCTTATAAGTATATACGGCTAGTAAAAGCACATATCTTATAGTTCGATTAATCGTTATTGTTATTGTCTCATGAAGAATTTCTTCAACAGTTATTTTAAGTATTGTTGAGTTATTGATGATATCTTTCAGTGTTGTAAAGACAAGTTGGTTATTATAATTCTTCATTTTAACAAGATCCTCTTTGACATAATCCCATAAAGACGAATTTTGGACATTTTCTAGTTGAGTTTTTAATTTTTTGTCATAAATCGTAGAATTTAATGAATGATAATTACTTTCAGGATTGCTGTTCTGTTAACAATAGAATTCAAATTTACATCAATTTGTAATTTAATTATTATCATAAATTAAAAACATATGAAAGATGCCCTACATGTTCTTTAATAACTATTGAACCACCGAATATTTACGTTAGATTATAAAAAAATATTTTTACAATTTTGGACTATGTTTTAAACATGTTTAATATTTACATAATTAATGATAAAAATAAAAATGTTTAATCTTTCTAAATTTCAAAAGAACCATTTTGTGGCTCTTTTCTGATAACAAATTTGACTAGATCTTAACAACTTCAGTATAAACACTTATTGAGTTGCATGCATTTTAATATATAGAGTTGGTATGTAGTGTAGGTGAACATACACCAGTACGAGTTAAAAACTAGCTATTTTAAAATAAAAAAAATAAAGGAATAAAAAATAATAATTATTTTTTCTTATTAGAGAGAAATAATAAAAATATTTGTTTAATGTAATTTAAATTGCAAAAATTATTAAAAAAAAAAATTAATGCAAAGTATTTGCAGGTTCAAAAATATTGTAAATGTCTAAAAATGATGGGACACTGTAAGGTGGTGTATCATAAAACAATGACGGCAGCAAACTTTATACATGAATTAAAGAATAATTTGCCTTAAAAAAAAAGAAGTATTATAAAATCAATCACGATTTGTATTAAATTGCAATATTTGTTTACTGTAACTAGAAGAAGGATTAATATATTAAATTTAAAAACCAGTCATGATACAGTCGTTATCTCTAGCAAAAGGGATACCTACTTAGTTGGTAGACTCAATATATAGAAATATTGAATAGGAAGATATTTTAGATACATTCTAATATCGTAAATATGTTTGAATGACTTACAAAAATTCTAACTATATTAAATATTATTTTATGGTGTAATCTCCTCATGTGTGACTCCAAATTATGAATTCCTTCTTCTATAAATAAAATAATTCATTATTTTATAGATGTTTGCAATATTAAATTATTTACATACTAATAATACATAAAGGATATATATAAATATTACTTTATAATTCAAAGGATAAATTATGTAGAAAATTAAAAAACCAGCACAGTAGGGAACTGCCATAGTTGGGACAAAATTGATGATATCTCTCATTGATTAAAATCACCGCCATGAAAACGGTTTGATACAAATTTGTAGACTGTGTTAATTTTTAGAAAAAATTTTTGGATGTTTTNATTGAATAGGAAGATATTTTAGATACATTCTAATATCGTAAATATGTTTGAATGACTTACAAAAATTCTAACTATATTAAATATTATTTTATGGTGTAATCTCCTCATGTGTGACTCCAAATTATGAATTCCTTCTTCTATAAATAAAATAATTCATTATTTTATAGATGTTTGCAATATTAAATTATTTACATACTAATAATACATAAAGGATATATCTAAATATTACTTTATAATTCAAAGGATAAATTATGTAGAAAATTAAAAAACCAGCATAGTAGGGAACTGCCATAGTTGGGACAAAATTGATGATATCTCACATTGATTAAAATCACCGCCATGAAAACGGTTTGATACAAATTTGTAGACTGTGTTAATTTTTAGAAAACATTTTTGGATGTTTTTTAAAAACAACATTAACACCTATTTCTTTTATTATATCCTTATTGCAAGTTTTATAATTTATAAGTATTGTTAGGGCGCGGACAGATAATGCTGCGCTCTATGTGCAACGGTGGGACCTGTGGGCAGCCATGCTCACGCCCTCCTATCTTTGAGGTTAAAATTTTTTGTTCTGTTGTTATAGTGGTTGATAAAAATTAAAAAATTAATGTATTCACTCTGCCTTTTTCAATTTCTCTTGATTCTATTCAATTATTTTTTTTTGTGTTAGTTTATAATTTGTTCAAGCCGTCTAGGCAAATTGTGTAAATTTTTATAAGCCGTCCAGGCTAATTGTTTATAATTGTGTTTAAGCCGCCTAGGCAACTTTTGTATAACCTTTTACAAGCCGTCAAGGCAATTTTTGTATAATCTTTTACAAGCCGTCAAGGCAATTTTTGCATAATTTTTTGCAAGCCATCAAGATCAATAATTGTTACTGTACAATCAAATAGTTAAGCATAGAATAAAAAATATAATTAGGTAAGACATCGCTATATAAGTTTATTTGTTTCTATTATTATTATTATTGTTTATTTAAGACTTACAATTATTATACTGTTCAATAATTAAAACAGACTCATTATTTATATTAATTTTCTTCTCTCTCTACATATTCAAACAATTACAGTCCACTATAAAAAAAAAAAATAAAGGGGAAAGGTGTCGCGTAAGCGTATTATTGTTATCTGCCCGCGCCCTAACAAGTATAATACATGAAAAAATTCTTATTTTAGTAATTATATTTAATATGAAATTGATGTTCAATAATTAAGACGTATGAGGACATAATAATTATGGCGAGACGGATGTCCGTCGTAGAAGGGACGACTTGCAGACACGATCGAATTGGTCACACGCGACCACTGTGAATGGTGGAATGACACAGTGTAAACAACTGTCACTCTCCACCCAACAACTTTACTAACAACAACAAATCTACCCAAGCAGATATTTTTGTCAAGCACTAGTATTGACAACGGACGAACCGATCATTTTCTCTCCGTATTAGCGTAGTTAAGCTTCCGTTTTGTCCGAATACTGATCTGTATTGTTATTCAGTACTCAATTTCCATTGCTGGTTGAGCACTAGCGTAACACTAGTTATGCAAAATTTCCAGTGCTGATCTGTCAATACGGTAGAACGATATCGTCCCAGACATATTCCAATATTAGTCCAGAACTGGTAGCCGTTACTGAGTTAGAATTTCCAGAATTGGTGCAATACTGTGACTGTTGTTAATTTCTGATTGGGGTGTACAGAGATATCTTAGAAAATATTACAGTTAATTTTATTTTTTTACAATAATATATTTTTTTGTCGAGCTCTTTACTCGAAAAAATAATTTTCTAATACCATCACTTATATCCTAAACTACGTCTAAAATTTGATTCTCAATTGACATCGTTTATTTATGTCGTCAGATTTTATTAATTGAAAAAATATTTTTCTGTTAAAAAAAACTTTTTTATATTATTTGAAATCAGCTAGTTACAGTTGTTCAAACTTTAGAAGAAATCAGAAAAAAAGTATACTTATTTTTAAAAATACTTCATCTTTATAGGTCGTTATTTGATAAGCACATAATATCGTAATAGGGTGTACAGTTTGTCGTATACAGAGTGTTCAGTGAACAAGGAAACAGGTCAATTGTTACAAACAATGAGAACAATTGACCGGTCTCCTTACTTTATAAATACTCTGCATATGAAACGATACACTTTATGATAATAATGCCGTTTTTTAAAAATTATTACTCTTTTTTTCTAATTTTTGTAAAATTTTTGTAAAATTNCTAATACCATCACTTATATCCTAAACTACGTCTAAAATTTGATTCTCAATTGACATCGTTTATTTATGTCGTCAGATTTTATTAATTGAAAAAATATTTTTCTGTTAAAAAAAACTTTTTTATATTATTTGAAATCAGCTAGTTACAGTTGTTCAAACTTTAGAAGAAATCAGAAAAAAAGTATACTTATTTTTAAAAATACTTCATCTTTATAGGTCGTTATTTGATAAGCACATAATATCGTAATAGGGTGTACAGTTTGTCGTATACAGAGTGTTCAGTGAACAAGGAAACAGGTCAATTGTTACAAACAATGAGAACAATTGACCGGTCTCCTTACTTTATAAATACTCTGCATATGAAACGATACACTTTATGATAATGATGCCGTTTTTTAAAAATTATTACTCTTTTTTTCTAATTTTTGTTAAACTTTTGTTAACACCTGTAGCTAGTTAAAAATCTAATAATACTAAAAAAAAAAATTTCAACTGAATGAATCTGATAATAGGATTGCTATTTGAAAATCAAAAGTTGATACTAGTTTAGGGTATAAGGGATGGTAACAGAAAATAAATTCTTCGTATTAAGCAACTCAAAAAAGAATCATTAATGTTAAAATAAAAATAATGATTAGCTTTAACATTTTCGAAAATATTTCGCGGGGCATAGTTAAGTCATCACTCGGTATATATTCTCAATATTTTTATTATTTTGACGGGAATTAATTAGATAAGGAATAACGTATTATATTTACACAGAATGTTTTGACAAATCCTGTTACAATATTTTTAAGGACTTTTAAGATAATGTGAATTTTTCTATATTCATATATGTAGAAAAATAACTTGTTTTAAGTCACCGTTCTTTTTTGAGACATACCTAGCCATGCTACTGTTAAACTAATTAGCGTATTACAAATATGATACGTTTTAATTCAGCATTAAATGTACATACCATCGTATGAAAAGTAATTCAATTCTTTTTTTTTTGTCACAACGATGTCTTTTTCCCGAAAATTCTTGAAAAAAATATATTAGTTTTAATGGTATAAAAAAAAAAAATTTAATTTATGTAGGACAACTAAGAATTTTTAATAAATAATTAAATTCTGTAATGTTCGAGAAAATGGGAATAAGTTTAAAATTGCAACTTTTGTACAAATGAAATTGAAATTTACATTAGAAATATAATTTTGTTTTAAACATAAAAATATTATTATTTTTTAATTGAAAAATGTGATTGAATGAAATTTAAATAGAAACTGCGAGTTTCAAATTCATTTTATAAAAGATCGGAACAGTACAAAAATATTTTATGAAATTAAAATAAATTCATTTAAATTTTAATAGTTATAGTATAGTTTCTTATGTCTACAAAGTTTATTTGATGCTTATTTAATTAATAATAAAATAGTCGATATTTTTACCAAAAGTTACGTACAATATTTAGTTGTATTGAATTTGAATTAGTAATATTATCCTGAAATGAAAATTTTAAAGTAATATTTTTATTTTTTAATTAAATAAATGGAGAGTTTTAAAAGCGATCAGACAAAACAGTTACTCACATAGTTCAAATAAATTTCTGCATAAATTGCTGTAGGTTCAATTATCTTAAATAAATAAAAAAATAATGTAAAACTCATTTATGTAATTTTTACCAGAAATACTTTACTAATAAGATTACAAAAATTATAATTATTAATATTGAAAACTATCTGGTAAACTTGTCATTTAGAAAATATTGTAAAATAAGAATTTGTTCAATTAAAAGTTCCTATTTTACAATGATTTAATGTAGTGGGTGTTTGAGTGTTCCTTTAACTGAAATTTAAAAGGAGAACACTTCTTGCGTGTCCTGAGTATATATATATAGGAAATGCCGAAAGATGTTTTAGTTATATTATTATTTCTAGGCAAAACATATTACATAAAACATAAAATAATCTTAAATTAACGTTAGTATAACTTAGACATATATACACATATATACTTAATATATACCTTCACAAATTACAAATAAAACATACAATTAATGTGACCTATATGTCAACGGATGACAGCGACCTTGATTGGGACTAGATTGTAAATTATACAAGACGTGGTACAGAATTCGTTTCACAGCGTCGAAATGAAGTTAACTCGTCCAAACGGTGGCGTATTTTGGCGTGTGCGAAACTATGAGCGATTACACCTTTGCGATGATTCAAAAGAACACAATAGCAAAATAAAAAACAAGGAACGATAATATACCGTTCAGTATCAACGATACTCGTTTGATTGCTAATGAAATAATGACTCGTTTTAACGAGTCGCGTAAAACTCGTCCAGTTATCTTTACAGTGGCCAGTCATATATTGATAAGAGGTCATATCAAAGACACCATATGACTGTGTACGCAACAGTGTAATTGATTTATAATTGACCACTAGATTTCTCATAAAATAATACAATTGAAATAATTTTCCGTTATGATGTTGAGTAGTATTTATTTTTCGATCTGTAAGTAGTTAAATATATAACATTTTCAAATGTTAAATTGTATCAGTTATCTTTTCATGGAAAAGTTGTTATTTTCAATCACTCCCAGGTCAGATTACAGTGACTTACATACTAAAATAACATCAGTTTCCAATAAAATTAATATAATTTTAGAATAAATCTTATCAGAATATTGTTCATAATGATGAGACAAAATTAACGTGTGTCATCGTGTACTCTGTGAGATGAAAGAAAAACTGACACGATTGGCGAGTGTACATAAATTTAACGATTTATCATAAAACAATAAGACCGCCATAGAGCAAACCCAACGGTAGGGCGACTTCTAATCAAAAATTTAAAATTACAGCGACTAATGGCGGTTACAAGAAAATATTTAGAACGATAAATTCATTGATCAGCTGTCAATTAAAAGAGCGAGAAGTGTGAGAATATAGTAATTAAGATGAGACGGATATCCGTCGTGAAAGAGACGATGTGTGCACTTAATCAAACCGGTCACATACAAGTGCCTTTGGTCGAATTTTGCACAAATCCCTTCTATAAATCATAAAATTATTATTGATTATAGACACTCGTTATTGGAATACTAACTAGTTTTTGATGCATCATAAATAATGTAATAAAGTTTTAAATGTTTATTTTATTTTTTAATAAAGTCTAGTTTTTTTTTTACAGGGCAAAACGTAAAATATAACAAATAATGGAGAACTGTTAAAGACTGAGCTTTATTCTAAATCTGTTTTTATCCTCTGTAAATTTTTTTATTATTAATTTTAATTTCAAGTTATATTCTTAAATTTATTTCTTACCAATTCTAAAATACCACATTTTACAGAAATCTGTAATGAAAATTATACGTTATAATAAAAATATTATACTATTTGTACTAAAATAGTTATAGAATCATTAATCAATATGAGTTTGAAACAAAATTAATTAGTAAAATAAAATAATGATTTACTTCTTCTCTTGTACAACTTTGAGCCTTCTTTATATTCGCATTATTACTCTGTAAAATAACAATTGAGTATTAATAATATTAATCTTAAGTTTAATCAAAAGAAAGCCTAATTTAGGTACTTAAATTAAACTGAATCTAATAAAAGTTGTAACTTACAAAAGTCCATCGAGAAAATGATTCATTTTTTATTGTTACATCTTCCTAAATAATAAAGATATATATTTTATGACTAATATATAAATTTGTCATAAACAGTTTAAAAGACAAGAAAAGTTATGAATTTATAAAAATAAAATAAAATGATTAATTAAATTAGAAAAACAATTCCAGCTATTTTATTATCTTTGTAAAAATAAACCATAAAACAAAATATAATTCGTCAAAATAGATTAATTAAATATGACAGTTAATTATTATTAAAAAAATATATATGTATAAATATATGATTTACTGGACTAATAAAAATCGTCGCGGCAAAAACATTTTCTAAAAAAAATTCAAATGTGAAAACTACAAAAAGAGTTATTATTTTATAAAGCATGTTTTAAAAAATAAAAATTATAGATAGTACATGCACTACGACAATTTTGTTTTTATATTTCATTCAGTTCAAATTATGTTGTATTATAAGGAATATAAGATTAATTTAATAAAAAAAAAACATCAAAATAAAAAAAACAAAACTGAAAATGACGCATAATAGTTTAAATAAACGAAATAAAATTTTTTTTTTATATTTACCAACGAATAGCGAACAATATTGTGATAGAATACTACTCAATACGCACCTGTTTATATTTAATTCTATTTTTATCGAATGACATTTTAAATTCCTTCTTTTGAATCACAAATTTTCTAATATTAGAGTTTTTTTTTATAAATTATAATAAACAATTTTTTAACTACTCGATATTATGGTATACAAAATTCTATAAATAAATGAGAGGAAAAATATTCTACACGTATGTGAAAAGTTTACTTGAAATAATAGTTGTCTTAAAAATATATATAAAATAATTATCATAGATAACTAAGCGTATAACATTAGGCTATTAGTTTCAGTAAACACATTAGCAAATACATATAATTTTCATGATAGTCACAACTTAGTAAATCAAATAAATGTATTAAAAAACATTTATGACGCACGTCTAAATTACAATTTTAAACGCTAATAAATTATATTTTTTTGTTTTTAAATATTAAAAATTTTTATTTTTCAAATTTATAAGAAAATTTATTGATGTAATGTTATCATAAAAATCATTTTAAATAACAATTAGCGATTTTAAATATTAACGTAAAACGTTTAACAATTTTTCGATTTTTGAAATTTCAAGTCCTGGTCATGAGGAAATCGATTAATTTTAAATACCAAAGCTCGAAAAACATTTCGATGACTCAATAATTATTCTTAACTGATCAAATATAATATTAAATTATAGAGATCCATTCTGGTACACGGATCTAAAATACTATGTGGAAGGTTTACATAAACGATTATGCCAACTGATAAACCAATAATATATAATACTAAATGATCCGTAATATTTTCAAAAATAATTGTGCTACAATAATAATTGTCCTTTAATCATTAATGAATATTTGTTGTAACACAATACAAAAAAACAAAAATTTTTATATTCATTCCTTATGTTTGAATTTGATATCAAATTTTAATTTTAAAAGAAAGTACCCTCAAAAATTTTAAAAATTTCCCTCGTTTCCGTAAACATGGGAAATCTCCAAAAAAATTACAAGTTTAAATGTCGCTCATTTTCAATTTTTTTATTTTAAACTGCCATAACTTTTTATAAAATAATCAAATCAATATAATTTTTTACTATAGATACATGAGGTTTTACCTATTATTTGATATATTTTTTTTATAAATCTTACCCTTTACCCACCCACAGAAGAGGATTCAAAATTATAACTTTTTCACAAAAAATTAACTTTTTAAAGAATTACGGAAATACTGACACTGTTATATATATATCTTAAATTAAAATTAATGTATTATATTTAATTACGGAAAAAAAAAATCGGGCTTTATTTTGTCTTCACAGTAAAAATAGCTACCACATTAAAAAAAATGCTATTTTTGTGTTAAAATTCTCGATATTTTACATTTTTAAATTTATATTTCCATAACTTTTTGAAAATTGTATGGATCGATAAAATTTTTTTACGAGAAATTGTCGTAAAC